AACCCTAATACTGTAAATAGCTTAGTTAATCACCAAACGTCCATAAGTAATTTCTATTTAAATTTGAAAATAATAATTGATTAATGTAACATGACGTCTTCAACATACAGTAAAACTAAACAATAAACATTTACAGTGCTTGATTACCCCAAAGCTTTGTTTTAGATTAAATCTACACTTACTTGTGTACACAGAATCCTACCTTGATTTAAAAACTCAAATTTATATGAATTTTGTCAAGTTTTCTCCCAATGTTTATCATAAAATTACCTACAAAAATATTAAATAACAAACAGCTGTTAAATTAAGATTATTTATTCTAGTTGTCACTGATATATTTACAAATGCCACAACTATTTCTAATCAGCAGAGGCTATTCATATGTCAGACATACACCACTACTGCACACATCTGTTCTAAATAGTGCCATATTACATTCCTAATCCAGTTACTTTTATAACTCTGATTCACTATATTTTCCCCAGTTATCAAAACTCAAGAACAATAGTTTCACTTGCGATTAATTAAACCGGTTAAGTAAGGCACACAATTTTTATCTCACTTGGCTTGGATGTATTAATAAAAATATTGGCAAAAAATTTTATAAAAATTAAACAAAATTGGGTTTTTAATAGTTTGTTATTTTATTTTCAATTTCAAAGAAGGGAGGCCAAGTTTTTATAGCCAAAAACACTCTCACTAATCCAGTAAATATAGAAAAATGATTTGAACCTTGATTAGTACTCTAGTTTTCTAGGAATAGGCTGCAGAAAATTATATTTTGGTGTCACAGACAGAATGGACAGACAAACAAACAAACAGACAGACAAAAATTGAGATAAACTTGTTTTGGCTTTTTAGGGTATAAAATGTAAAAATAACCAAAAACTACATCATTGCTTAGGTGTACAATCTAAAAATGGTTTTAAAACATGTAACATTATTGCTAAAAAATTTAACACATTTTAGAATTAGGCAACTATTTACTAGTAGGCCTACAATGTTTTGGTTCAAACTATTAGGCCTAGATAACAACTTAGTCTATGTTATCATATTTGTACACGTAAGTTGGACGGTTCAATGACAAACATTTCATTTTAAATATATAAATTAGTTATGAAAGTTACGATGGTTGATGACTGTATTAATTAATGATTTTGGTTTATTACAACATTACGATTAAATCTGTTTTCTGTATTTGAGAACTTGCATGTATTTTAGCTTAATTTCATAGAGGTTTAATTATTTAGTACCAATTAAACTGAATTTTCAATATTTTTTTCATATTCTATTATTTTCTTTTATACTGATAGCATTTATATTTAAGATTAAAATCATAAACATTGATGGCTGTTGTACAGTTAAACAAAAAAACACTTTTTCAAGATTTTTTTATTGTCTTTGAATTACTTTGGACTAGTTATCTGTTAAAAGTGGAATTGATAACAAAAAACAATAACCTTTACTGTATCTTCATTGTTACCGACATTTTGAAATACAGCAGTGTATGATTATTTTGTCGTACAAGGTTAACAATGCTCTGTGCAGTGGGTGCAGCCGGGTAAGCAACTTCCAGAGTTAGCAAATTCCGCCAAGACAAAATCCAGTTAGCGGGTTCTGGAGTTAGCCAATTCCTGACTGAGACGGTTAGCCAGTTCCAGAGTTAGCCAATTCCTACATCTCTGGTTTTGATTTTATTTGGTAATTACAATAGACAAGCTCCTGAGTCAAATGAGGGGGTATTATTCTAGGTGGATACAATTTCAGTCCATATAAATTTTAATCAAACATGGCAAATCTACTTCCTTTCAATTAAGCTATTAATATTTATTAAAAAATATAATTTATTACCTTATCTATAACAACAAACCTAGGTATATGGTCCTTGGTTCTTGTAAACTACATCTCTTTAAATATAACTATTTTGAACAAAAATAATTCCTTGTATTTTTACCGAGAAATTATAAACTGAATATATTACAAAAGTAAACAAACATTATAAAAACAATATACCATCATCATTTACATCAAAACTTTTTATTGGTTTACAGACTTCAATATTACCTCTTTTTTCAATCTTATAACACAGGATTTTAAAACAAATGAAATAGTAAATTATATATTTGATCTATTTCCACAACATAAACATATTAATGCTCCAAAAACTTGTCTATAAGGAACCTTTTTTGTCTCTGTCTTTGTTTTAACTTCCTTTTCTATCTATAAGTTTTCTAAACCAATTGAAGTTCTTCCACAGTTATAATCATTCATGTTGAATTTCTTTGTTTCTTTATGTAGCATGCTTGACTAAGTAATTGACTAAACTTGTTCCTTCAAAATTTCAAGTCCCAAGTAGTGTGAAACATTCATAGTTTTGATCTTGAATTCCTTATCTATAATTTGATAACATATAAAATAACTATAACTTTTCTTAACTCCTATTGAAAAGGGTATTAAAATCACTTTCTTTTAGACAGTTGCTAAATTTGTCATTCCATTTAACATGACACTTGTATTTCAAGTCATATAAACTTTCCTTCAACTTATAGTATTAACTAGGCTCATCCTCAAAACCCTCTGCTTGTATGTAAATTTCTTCTTCTAAATCATCATAAAGAAATACAGTTAGGACATAGAATTGTTTTAAAACATGTTTTTGTTTGCTACAATGTTTAACATTTATCTCACTGTCCCCATTTTAGCTATTGGACTAAATATTTTATTAAAATCTAGTGTCTTCATTATCATTTCTTTGTACTTACATTTAATCTTGTAAAGACTTATTTTCTGGAAGATATATATCAGGAATAATGTATTCATCTTTATCATCAAATCTTCCAATTATACATATATGTTTTTTTTGAAGAGTTGATTCATTATTTTTAGTTATACTAACTTTGTTTTTCCTAATATATTTTCTCTTTTTTGAAACTCTTTTCCAAACTAAATCTATTTCTTGTTGTGGAAAATTATTAATTAAAAATGAAATAAAGTTTTCAATTTGTAATACATAAATTGGATTTAAGTTTGAAAACTTTGACCTTACAATAAAAAATTTTAAAATATTTTCAATAATTTTCTTTTCCTCTTTAGATTTTAATGTTGACTCCATGTTTATATTAGAGCTCTAAAAAAGCTCTATTTTAATTACCTCTATTGCAACTAAAGTGATCTAAAATGCGTAGTAACTCTTATATCTGGATTTAATTTGTAAAATAAAACAATCAATGTACCATTGATATATCAAATTGATTAATATTTAAATTGTTATAACTTATGTTGTTAGTATTAAATATTGAATCATATTTCAACTAAATATGAAAATATAAATGCACTAAAATAATTGATTGCATAAACAAAATATATTTTTTCTGAATCAAATAAAATTGTAAGTCAAAAATTAAATATTATTAAACTAGGAATATACTTATTGTGCACATAGTTAAATAAATAAACTAAAAATAATAATTTCAATGTGCATAATTATAAATAAATAATTGAAAATTTAATTTAAACCTACATATAGGACAAGTATTATGGCTTTCCAGCCATTCAGCTATACATGTTTTACAAAATGTATGTTTACATTCTAAAATAATATTTTCTTCTGTTACTACCAAACATATTGGGCAGTCAATTCTGGTAAATAAACTAATATAAGTTAGGCAGATTTTATTTTGAACATTTTTACTTATTGAAATCCCCCTTGAAATATATATTTTAAAATCAATTAATCTATAAAATTTAATCAAATCACTTTCAGTTAGAATTTGACATTTTGAAATTGTAGGCCAATGTAATATATTTTTAAATATTTCTAAAAGAAAAGAGTCAAGTTTCTGGTAACCACTTATAAAAAAACCAAAATTCTTTCTATAACATTCTGGACCAGATTCCAATCTTGAATATATTAACATCATTTGGCCACGTGTTAAATTTTGATATTCCAATAGATTTTGCCAGATAAAATTTGTTTTATCATTCATCAATATCCATGTATTAAACTCAGTTGATAACTTTTTATTTTTCAATAATATATTTACATTAAGTTTATTATAATTTTTTAAAAGGTAGGGTTCAGGCACCTCTTGATAACAAATTAAAACATTCCAATCAATTTCATCTTGAAGCTGGTTAAGAACCATAGGAGTTAGGTTTTGGTTTTTAACCAAAAGAATAAAATCAAACTTGTTAAAATATTTTATAATAATTGTTGTAGGAACATTTTGAAATTTGATTAATTCATTAAAGTCTATCTTGTTTTCAAATGTTGTTATAAACCTTTCAGAAAAACATTCATTTTTATATAATTTTTTCCAATCTTGTTGAGACATTTGTAAAAGTCTCTGTTTAACAATGTTAAACTTTTCTTGTACTATGATTTGGAAACTTCCATCAGAAACCTCATTTTTCAAGGTATTATATAAATGATATATATCTGTTGGGTCATTCAAACTACTAACAAAATCAATAACACCTTTCTCTGTTTTTATTTCATTAACCATTTTCCAAATAATTTTTTTTCTATTAATAAGTGAATTAAATTCTACTCTTAAATTCCTTGCAAAATCTTTTAAATTATTTAATGTTAACCTTTCCATATCTAAATATAAGATGAACAAATAATATAAATACTTACTAGATTGTTTTAAATACTAAACAATAATAACCAACCAATGTTGATTACAAACTAATGCATTAACAAAAATATTAATCCTTTATATAGAGTGAGAAAAATAAAGAAACCTTTACTTTGGGCAAAGTATTATAAAAATACCACTTCTCTAAACCAATTATAATTATATTCATCAATACATCAATATATAAATTCTTAATAATTTGTCACTTTCAACCTATCCCTAATATGTAAACTTGACATAATATAATAGTGGCAGTTAATTTATTTAATTTAAATTTATTTATGTAGTATAAAGCCAAAGTATGTATACAATAGAAACAAGTATTATTCTGTTTTATTTTATCTTATATTATTTTAACAGGTTCAGTACCAGCCTGCTGTTATATCTGGGTTTAGAGTCTCCAGACACATGGGAGTAAATGTGAAGATTAATGTATTTACAAAAATTAGTATAATCTAGTAATTGTATAACTTTACCCTAGTGTTTATACTTATTTGAAATAAATTTTATATTTTTTGTGTTTTTTTCCCCCAATTTTAAATCCATCCAGCAGTTTATGTGTGATTGAACTTTAAACAAACACACATAAAGATGAGTCTGGTGTAGAGTATTCCATTTTATTTAAAAGATTATAAGTTATTTGAGTATTACCTGTTAATGTTTATTTATTTTCTGTTCTTTCATAATGCAATGGACCAATTTAAAATATTTTCCATTTATAATATCATGTATTTCCTGTTCAATCAATGGTATTTTCTTCTTAAATTTTTGCATTATTAGTTTTATCTATTCTTTACTACATTATAAAACTTGCTGTTCCAAATGGTAGGGAAGTGTAAATTCAGTAAAATATAGGGTAACTATTTACCATTAGTGTGACAAATAGACTCTATATGTTTTGTTCTAATTTTAAGTTATAGGAGATCTTCCCATCTAGCAGGCCTAAGCAGCAGTCTCCCTAGTGAACAGTGTTGTGAATTAAAATTTAAAATTAAGCTTAACAAGAAGCATTAATTAACTGGTCTAAAATATTTAGTGGGTGTAAGGTCTCAGGTATGGTATTAAAAACCTACAACCCAATCTTTGTTAAATTAAAAGGCACTTAGCCAAACACAAGGTGTTTTTTGTTTGTTTAATGGCCAGATTACTTTTTAATTAAAATCAACACCTTGTAACCAGTGTAGAGTCAGTGTTATATGTTCTATGTCCTGTTAAATAAATTATTTTCCTAATAGTATATTTATTAACCATTCATTTGTATCTGATTTATTCTTGTCTAATTTTTCTGTCTTTTGTCACACTATTGGTCATCCCTAAGAACTTTTTTAGTCATTTGCTAATCTCTGTGATGCAGTTTACTAAAATATAATTTCAATGAACAACTTAAAATAGGTTTAAAACAAAACAGTATAACACATATTAGTTACTTTCTTGTTAAAAGGAACATTCATTGTTATCAATTTTTTTTTCAATATATTTGTTTGCTACACAATCCATATCTTTCTGTTTTAAAATCTCCAAACACATTTAAATTACAAATTAAGGACTTAGATAACCTTGTTTTTGAAAAAATAAAAACTTATACTGAATTAGAAAATGAAACTAGTCTATTCTAAACTAACTTAACATAAAACAACTAAACTGGCTCTAGAAGCTATGTTAGTGTTTCAAAATTCTGTTTGATAACAGAAAAGATAAATCGGAAAAATGGCTATCAACTGGAATTTTGAAATGTTATAGTAAGTTTGGTTGGTAAAGTTAACTTGTAGTTTTGGAATTTTGAAATGTTATAGCAAGTTTGATTGGTAAAGTTAACTTGTAGTTTATACAGTTTATAACTGACTGATAAAAATACAGCCAGAATAGTATATTTTGCCCTATTCGACAGTCACTTGAGGAAAAAGTTGTGATTTTCTGGTCTCAACAACTATGGAGAAGATGACCTAGGTAAAAGGTATAGCCTACTTAATAGTTTCATTTAAATAGGCCTTTATATTTTTTTAATTGTTTGATACTGAACAATAATTATTTTTTATCCTTATTGTAGTTGCCAGCTGATAGGCTATGTTTCAATTTGTTATTATCAATTTATTGGATAGAAAAATAAAATATTAATATTCAAAAAGAAATCATCAATAATAATGAATGTTCTTTTTAACAAGAAAGTGCCCAATCTAGTTTTAAATCAAAAGTTACCTCATAAAAGCAGTCTTAATTAAATGAATGAATGAGATTTTCATGTTATATGGGTGTATATTAATAGACATCTGAAAGATATTCTTAATCAATATTTAATTAGATATCCATAGGACATAAATACACCTCTAAAATGATCTTTAGACAAATGTATACCTTTTTAGATGTTGATCAGACATATAATTTCAAATATTTTATAAATGTTTAGATTAATGTCTTATAAATATTTAAAGAACTCTACAGATATCTTTGGATATAAATAAACATAAATATTAAAATAAATAAAATAATAACATAAATAAAATAGATCCATCAGACATTCTGTGCTATCTGGGTTAGGAAGGCTTGTGCCATTTTATGTAAATTTGTATTTCCTGTTTATTCCCTCCTGAATTCCCACCAATATCCCACTATTACCCCATTGCATCTCATAACCATCATATTAACCACCCTGAGTTCTCCATCACTATTTCTCTCCAGCTACACAATTATATAGTAAAGAGAATTCAAACAGTTTATAAACAAAAATGTTGGTCCCCAATGTCATACATGACTAGATATCAACATAATTATCAAAGTTAATGTTAACTAAAACTTTTAATTTCTTCTTCTCAAATTTTTTTGCCATATTCAATATAAAATATTGGTAAATATTAATTTAATTCATATGAAATAAGTTGGAGGAATAAATCTTATATTGGTTTTTTTAACTATTCAGAAAACATGAACATTTACTTTATAGTCTCACAATGTATTGTAAAATTTACTGTCTTCCTCTGTTGAACTGATCTTTAACAACAAAGGGATATATTCTGTGCTAATTAAAATGTTTTCACACCTTTCAATTGAAAAATAGTTAGGACCTATAAAATCTAATACATGAAAGTCATTAACTAAATTTAGACACTCTAGTGAGGTTAATGCTAAATCTATTACCAATAAACCATTTTATTTTATAAATGTTAATTTACCACTAATATCAGAGGGTGTGTAGCCATTTAAAACTGTTAAGTTATAATTATCACAAAACTTTAGCACTTTCTTGCACCCCTGATGAGTTGCACCTTGGTTTTCAACGTCCTGTAGCTGTGGTGTTGTCACTGGACCCATACCAAGAAGGTGATATGTCTGACTATAATTATTTTACTCTCTTCACACCTTTAGTCATGGTGCATCAAAGTGTAAGTTTAGAATATAATCTTTCTAAAGGTATACAGATTATTTTATAACCAAAACCTTACAAAATGTGACTATTATAGTTGCACTACAAGTTGGAGGGTTAAGCTTTAATTTTCAAAAAGTCTAGCAGCTTATGTTAGAATTCTAAACTAGCTTTTGATTAAATCCATTTGCTTAAAATAACAAATGTAAACATTTATAACACAAGACCCAAATTTAACATGCATAGATACATTCAAAAATACCCATGAACTTTTAAAAAATTAATGTACAGTTGAATTTTTTTAGCTATAAGCAGTTGAGGTGAACCTATTTGGCTGTAGTGGATCATGTGTTTATTTACATCCGTTTCAATTGCGGATTACTCCTTTCCAATGCGCATGTGCAAACAAACTGTTCCATGGGAGCTGTGACAAGCGTTGGATGGATAGAACAGAACCGGTTTCGGTTAACTTCTCTTTGTTCTCCAAAGTCAACTCACTCACTAACTCTTTGTCTGATTCTACTTTACCACCACCACTACCCTCCTAGGCTTGGCTTCCTCCTCCTTGTTCTTAGCAGAGCCTTAGTTGGCAAGTCAAAACGGAGTAAACATAGGTAACTAATATTCTGAAATTAACAGCTAGACTGAAACCACCTATTAGGTCAGGCCAACTTCATCTCTGTGTTACAAGGAACCTAATTTCTCACATTCCTTTTTATTATTCAAAAAGCTTCATACAGTACCGGCCCTAATCACTACTTTATAAACAAGAGTGTTATTTACTTTATTCAGGCCTAAAGACCCAAACAATGTGAAGCAAAGGGCTTAGTTTCAGCACAAACTAAAAAATAAGTATCAATTGATTTGTAAATAATACTTAACTGGCATGGTATAACTTATATAATATTCGTTTCCATATTTTGAGATAAGCCTAGACTAGATTAGTTTACACCAATTAATCCATTAAAGTTCCAAGTTTAATTTGTAATCTATGTCTAGCTTTCAAATACATTACTGTAAAGTTTTTATTGAGACCTCACTAGATCCATAATTTTGAATTGTAATATAGCTGACTCAGAACATGGCGAGTTCAAAGTACAGTAGATTCTTTCAAACCAAGGCAGCAACTAAGGATAGTAAGTCAATATTAAAATTATTGAGATTTTAGAGGAGGGTTAAAATTATTGAGATTTTAGAGGAGGGAAGTTAGAAGGGTGCATAGATAGATATAGGTTAAAATAAGCAAAACAAGTAATAATGCTTTGGGCAACTCACCTACTTGTTCTGCCTAAGTACAATAACAATATATCATTGTATTATGCATAAAAAAGACTTTGTTATGTGTATCGGCATATTAACAAAAACACCATCTGTGGAGCCCTAGTTTTTAGTTGTGATGTGGGGGGAGGACTTGCACATTAGATATTGAGAGATATCCACAACAAATAAAACCAAACCAACAGATGAGCAAGAACCAGGAAGTAGACTAAATAAAAACAAAGCACATACTAATTGGTAAAAGTAACAACCTGTCCTGTGTGCTATATCACGCTATATTCAATTCATTGTAAACGTTGTAACAGATAAATCTCAAATCTGATATCACAGAACTACAGAATAGTTTACTTGCACATGTGCATTATGAGAAGAGTAATCTGCGATTGAAACGGATGTGTTTATTTGTGTCAAATTTTGAGGTTAAAAAATCAAAATAAACAAACTGGCATATATTCTTGGAATTGACAAGTTAAATATACTTTAAACTTACTCCAGCCTAATATGTTTTTATAAAAATACCTAGCAATTTAGATATAATTTACTGTTAGAGACATGATTTCTAATTCCAAATCAACTAATGAATAAGTTGTTACCATACTTAATTATTGTTTCAAATTATAGGTGATAATTACTTTGAAAACAGTTAATTATATAGTAAATTATATGAGTAGGCCCTAAATATTAAAATATTGAATCTTGTTGCATAAGTTAACTTGCATAAAATAACTGTTGAGATATACAGTAATGATGATTTATGTTTAGTTTTGAGATCTCTTATCATCTCATCTCAATAGACCCACATTTTGGGATCCAAGTTAGGGACCAGACTTAAATAATCTTAAGATGACGAGATAAATCTTTATAGACTAAGTTTTTGACCCATTTA